GGAGGGGAACATCACATATCTGGGCCTGTTGGGGGGTGGGGGGACTAGGGGACAGATAGCAGGGGTTGGGGGGTTGGAAAAAATAAAGAAAAAAAAGGCAGAAACAGCATTTTTTTAATCTTAATCCTAACTGCAAGTATAATGCTTCCTCCCAAATATTTATATTTATAGAAATTTAAATTACAGAATTGATATACAAAGAGCGGTACTACCTTAGATTCTTAGACATTAAGTTCTTATTTAAAATAAATCATCGAACATATGTTGGTGATTATACTTATTGTATTGAAGCTTCTTTGTGCTTCTCAGCACTGGTACTTACGTATGAAAGTTGATGCTTTCTGTCAGAAGGTGCTGAGATATTTAATGCTCTGCCATTGTTGTAGATTATCTGTTTCAATTACATGACATTTTTTATAGAAGCAAAACTCACATATTTTGTCAAAACTCTGGAAGTAAGACTGGGGAACTTAGTAGGTCATGCAGGCCATCTTTTTTTTTTTTTTTCTTGAGATAGGTTCTCACTCTGTCACCCAGACTGGAGTGCAGTTGGCATGATTATAGCTCACTGCAGCTTAGAACTCCTGGGCTGAAGCCATCCTCCTGCTTCAGCCTCCCCAGTAACTGGGACTACAGGTGTATTGCCACGACACCTGGAATATTTTTTTAAATTGTTTGTAGAGAGTGGGTCTTGGCTGGTCTCAAACTTCTGGCCTCAAATGACCCTCCTGCCTTGCCTCCCAAAGCACTGGGACTGCGGGCATGAGCCACCATACCCCAGTCCAAGGCCATCTCTTTACTATAGACTTTCTGATAATTTTTTAAGCTGAAATTGGACAGCTGTAACAGGGCTTTTGTCAGAAATATCAGGTCAACTCACCTAAAAGGAAAAGAGTGCTTTGTTTTTTAAACATTTGTTAAACACAGTTAGTGATCATCCATCACTTCCGTATGTACAGGTTTTCATTTTGGTCACCTCAAACGTACTAAGTTTAACTGATCATTATCACCATTGGGAATTTGATCTCAGTGTTCCCAGCTTTGTTTCAGTATAAAGTAATGAATGATACTACAGTTAATAAGGAAAAAATAGCATTTCTATACTAGGTGTGTTCAAGTCAATTTAACATTGTTGTACATTTATCACAGATGAGCACTGTAAAAGGTAGAGTAAATAAAGGTTATTTTCTGAGTTCTATTCCATTTTGTCAAACAGAAATGCAGTTTCTGTTATAAATATTGGTAATTTTATAAACTTTAAGTTATTTTAATAAGATTTGCCCATGTTGTAATAAAATAAAAGCCTGGATTTCTAGTCATTAATAATCCCAGAATGCAAAAACAAAGAAAAGAGCAAAGAGACAAAAACAAAAACGAAGAGTAGGATAAAGTTAATGTAAACATCCAGATGTAGACAGGATCTGTTTTTGGATATAGAACAATTTAATTGTTATATAATTTTGTAAAATTTTTTAAGCTACTCAAAGACTAACATAAAACAAAGGCCTGAAGTGAAAAATTATAGCAATTAAGTCAAATATTTAAATATTATCAAATACTTTTTTTAGAAAGTTATAAAATTCACCAAGAAAGATAGAGAATAACAAATGTATTCCTGGATATTATAGCGAACACTCAGTTAATGTTTTAAGACATCTGATTAATGAAAATTAACTTTCTATGAGCCTGCCTTTTTATATGAAATACATAATTTGTTATATATAACAACATACATAAAGTGTATATTCTGGAAAATATATATTCCAGAATGAACACATAATTTATCTTTAAAATTTCTTCACCATTACTAACATTTATACTTTAGTTATTATAGGTTCTATAATATATAAAATCCCTCCTTTTTATGCCATTATGCTTTAATATTAGAGACTTCCCATCAGACTGGTGGATTTCATACTAGTATTACTCCAATGAGCAATTCGGTTGCATCGATAGACTAATAATAAATATCTGCATAGTATTCTACAATGTGCATAATTATCCCATTTGTCTCATAGCAATTCATTGAGTTAGTTATCATTATCATTGTGATTTTACTTATGAAGAACTTTAGATTCAATGGTAATAAATGACGTTTCCAAAATGGCTGTTAAAGTGGTACAGCCACGACTGGAACGTGGGTCTTTTGTCCTGACTTCCTTCCAACTTGTTGAGACAGATCAGCAATAGGGAGATTTATATGTGCCTCCCTTTAGAAAGGCTTACTTTTCAAAAATTAAGACAATTTCATTGATTTCTTGTCAGATGACTCTAAATTTTATCACAAAATTATCCAGTTTTGTAGTCTCTTAAATATCTGACTTACAAGCAGCATTTATGTATTAGATTTATTGTGTAAAGCTTTATAATTTTACAAAGTTAATATGTAGACCTATACTTGAAGAGGCATTTAAGTCATATGCAAACGAAATAAAGAATTACAAAAACTGCATGCCAAGATTTTTTTGGCTGGTTATTTAGAGAGTCTTTCTGCATCTGAGTAAACCAGGATCCTTGCATGCCAACAATAAAAATCAACTATGTTAATTATAAAACAAACAACGACAATGAAAATCCTATTAAAAACAAAAGAAAAATTAAAAAAAATAATTTACTGAGAGGACACCAGGAATTCACTGAACAGAAGCTAGAGGACAAGCTTAGAACACGGGTAGAAGCCAAGGCACCTCTGAAGGGCTAAAAAGCAAGCATCACAAATCCTCCCTTTGGATCTCATTATCTGGACACCACCATCAGCAAGAATAGTCATATCTTTATCATTGCTTTACTATTTTCTTATTCAAATTCCTGTTAGTGTAAGTTCCATGGCCTAAACCTATGCCGCAAGCCCAGAGAAGGAGAAGCTTTACCCAGCTTTCTCAGTGGGAAAGTAGGAAAATAGGGTACTTGTTCTCACAAAACTACAACTAATGGGGAATCCTGTCCACACAGAGAAAGGAAGAAGGAAAGCAAAGTAGGATGGTATTAGGGAGCAGGGAATAAGAGGAGAGGAAAGAGGGAGGGAGGGAGAAAAAGTGGAAGGGAGGGAGGGAGAGAGGGAGGAAAGGTTAGTTAGACACTAAAGAGCATACTTTCTTAGTAAAAGGTAAAGGCTTACTATGGCATTTCTAATTATGAATATGCATATGAGTTGTTTTTTGTCTTACTGAGGTTAAGGATTTCTAAGAAGAGAAAAGCAATTTTTCTATTATTCACATGAAGATGGGACAATCGGAAGTGTATAAAGAAAAGAGCCTTCTTTTCTGCTACCTACCTTGACATGATTAACACTGTCAGGAAATAAATTTCTTTTGCTCTTCATAGCTAATGAATTAAGTTTTGCTTTAGTTTTTTTGAAACAGATTATTTGTAAGTGAACGTCAGTGGATTTTTAGAGAAAATAGATGTTTTTAAAATAGCTTTATAGAAAGTGGTTGATGTTCTCAACAAAACACTGTTTTTCTCTATGCCTTTAATTTAAAACATTTTTATTGTTTTAGCTATACTAAGATACAGATAACTTTCAAATTTATATTAATATTTTTAGCCCAGATATCTCCCCATACTTCTAATTTCTATGTCCAGCTGATATCAAGATGTTGACCCCTCAATCTTATCTAAAACTACTTTCTCCCTAGCAAGTTTCTTTTCCTTTATTTCATCTCAGCAATGCTGTTATCATCATCTACCATTCAAGAAAAGTACTGTAAGATGTACTTGATTCCTTCTCCTTCCCATCTACCTATAATCACTTGACAAATGTCTTTGATTTTTCTTTAAATATTTTTCTGATGCACTCTCTCCTCTTGATTCTAATGTGTTGACTTGACTTACTTCTAGCTTTTATCACCTCTCATCTGGGCTTTGACAGTATCTCCCAACTGTTCTAACTCCAGACTTATTCCCTTGGATCCACCTACCACATGGCTAAAACGGATCTATCTACAGTGCAAGGCTCTGTCACTCCCATTGCTCCTTAATAGATGTGCAAGACCTCGTATGATCTGACCCCATCCTACATCTCCAAACACATCTTTGCTTCTCTCACCTTTAAGTTATTCATTGTTGTGCTGGTAATCTTCCCTTGACAATTGGGAAGACATGGAGAGACAATTGGGAAGACATGATTAAATCAAGATTCATTTGCTCTTTTCCTGCCATCTTCCTTCTGCCACCAACACCAGAGAACAGTCTAAAAGATGATGGAAAACCAAAGCATTCACACACACACACACACACACACACACACACACACACACAGAGAGAGAGAGAGAGAGAGAGAGAGAGAGAGAGAGAGATTAATTAAGATTAATTGATTCTAAATCTCTTAAGCAACATGGAAGTTTAAAACAAGAATAGATTAAGTTTCAGAGAATGAAAGTGACCTGACAACTTTGGAATCTAAGACATAGTTAAGAGTTGTTAAAAGAAAATTAGATATTACACAACTGAAAGCAGTGGTTTTACAAAGTAAGACCAGTTTATGTTTAAAAAGAACTGAGATTTAAAAAAAATAATTATAGTCCATTCAGGCATTATCTTTTTATTTTTCTGGGAAATTTTTCCTGACTTCCCTCCTGATTAACTAATGCACTCCCTTTAACACTCATGTGCTTGTCTCTCCTGTTGAATTGCGAGCTTCTTTGGAGGCTAGGATTGAGTCGTAGTCATCTTCATAACTGCAGCATTTTTATGCAGTGCCTGGCACATGAATGATTCTCATTAAATGGGTGTTGCATGAATGAGTGATGGATCATGGATTCACTTATCAGTTTCCCAGAAATGCTAAATCTGGGACTAATTTTTAAGTCACTTCCAAAGTTGCTGATATTTTAGGATGTATTTTTTATTAATGTTTTCTCATTTTCAGTGTAAAATATGTTGAGATTGAAAACATTATCCCTACCTATACCTATTTTCAAATTTATATGTATTTTCAATGTTTTTGACATAATTCAGTCATTATTATGGATCACTGTATTTTTATATTTGTTTTGTAGGTTTTCGAAATTTGCATATTGATGACCAGATAACTCTCATTCAGTATTCTTGGATGAGCTTAATGGTGTTTGGTCTAGGATGGAGATCCTACAAACACGTCAGTGGGCAGATGCTGTATTTTGCACCTGATCTAATACTAAATGAGTAAGTAGTAACTTTTGTTGTTTTTGTTACTATAAGTATACATATAGGATAATTTTGAAAGTTATATTTTAATAGATGATCACCATCTATTAAATAGATATATTTGGTGTTCTTGATATGATGATATTAATAAGATTATGTCATTTTACTGTATTTGATATTTGGAGCTTTTTCCTTGTTTCAAAATATATTATAGTTGTATCAAATCCAATTGTTTTACATGTCAAGAATGTATCAAGAAATATATTTAAAGATAAATGTTTCATTTATCAATTTTAAATTTCATAGCTTGATACTAATGACAATAATAAAATAAACAAAAATTTTTGTTATTGACTTACATTCGAAAAGTAAAAACATCTTTCTTCCTACTGGACAAATTAGGCTGGTAATTTATTTTAAAAACTGAAAGATAAATATTGCAATTTACTTTATTATATTTAAATAACTATAATTTTCTACATATACTCTTTAACTGAATAAGAATTTTTCATGATAATATTTATATTGTTCTAATGGTGAATCCTGACTTTGAAGTATATAACAGTAACTTACACTTATATATTATAATTTTTAGATAATTTCCATGTTTCATCACATGTTATCCAATAATTCCTTGAAATAAGGAATCTGCATTCTTCATTTTACAGTTTAGGAAATTGAGTCTCTGAAGAATTATATAATCTGCCAAATAATCTCAATGACAGTGAGAGTCTTATCTCTTTTGAGTCAAAATATAATTTTATTATTCTTGTTAGCTTCATTTGACTAATCCAGACATTATAAAACAAGACATGGTTGAGAAAATACCTTAATTAAATTTTCTCAACCTTCAGCGCTTGTGTTTAACCTCGTCAATTAATTAATGCTTCCCAATGTTCTCTTTTACTCTTTTCTGTATTATTGTATATTTCCCTAGAAAAGTTCAAAATATGATAAGCTGTGTGAACTGAATTCTCCTATTTAATTGCACACATTATATAATTATATGTTTTCATAGAAAATAATTTGTAAGTAAATAAAAACATTTCTGAGCATTCTTCACCTCCACATTCTTAACTCCTACACCTCTGCTGTGTTTTCTTGGTTTAGATATTTAAAGTGTGATAATAAAAATGAGAAACAATGTTAATCTTGGTCAGTGTGTATTTCATATAATTTTCTAATTTTAAGATTTCTTGATCTCAAAAATTCAGTATTGTGAAAATTGTAAAAGACATTTAAAATTCCAATTATTGGATTTGTTTGTTAAAAGTAGTAGTCATACTCGGTAATATGTAAGGTAATTACCAAAATCATATTCCCTGATAAATTACCTAAATTGGCTGAGATACTATTTTTTTTTCCTGTTGCTTTTTCTTTTGTGTATTGTGTCTGGTGCAAGACAGCGGATGAAAGAATCATCATTCTATTCATTATGCCTTACCATGTGGCAGATCCCACAGGAGTTTGTCAAGCTTCAAGTTAGCCAAGAAGAGTTCCTCTGTATGAAAGTATTGTTACTTCTTAATACAAGTGAGTGAGTTCAAGTAACTTAATACAAGATATTTAGTTTCTTAATTCATTATAAAGGTGCAAACAATAATATGATTACATAGTTATATATGAGGTAGAAATCTGAGATTATAAGTATAAAGAAGAAATACCCAATATATTGTTATAGACATTAATAAAATTACTTGATTTTTTTCATCTTTTACCTACCATATAATACTAAAATAGCTTCATCAATCTTTTTTATTTTAGATAAAAGATGATTATTCTTTCATATTCACCAAATTAAGTACTATAAACTACAGTCATGTGCCACATAACAATATTTTGGTCAGCAACAGATCACATATACAATGGTTCCCTAAGATGATAATGGAGCTGAAAAATTATCATCACCTACTTGTGTTATATCCATCATAACATCACAGCACAATGTATCAATCACATGTTTGTGGTGATACTGATGTAAATAAACCTACTGTGCTGCCAGTCACATAAAGTATAGCATATATAATTTATGTATAGTACATAGTACTTGGTAGTGATAATAATTCTTACTTGTTTATGTATTTACTATACTATACTTTTCTATTGTTAGAGTCATTACTTCTACTTATTTAAAAAAAAAAGTTAACTGCAAAACAGCTTCAGGCAGGTGTGTCAGAAGGAATTCCAGAAAAAGGCACTGTTGTCCTAGGAAATGACAGCTCCATGTGTGTTTCCAGGAGTTCAGGTCCAGCCTGAGCAATATGTGAGACCCTGTCTCTAAAAAGAGAAAGCTGTACAATGTGTTTTTATTTTAAACTACATGTTATTAAAAAAGAGCCAAAAAGTTTAAAAAAAAAAAAACTAGAGTTTATAAAGTTACAGTAAGCTAAGGCTAATTTATTATTTTAAAAAATATTTATATATATATATAGCATAGCCTATGTGTATGTTGTTTATAAAGTCTATCATAGTGCATAGTAATGTCCTAGGCCTTCACATTCTCTCACCACTCACTCACCGACTCACCCAGGGCAACTTCCATTCCTGCAAGCCCCGTTCATGTTAAGTCCCCTATGCAAGTGTCCCACTTTTTATCTTTTATACTGTATTTTTACTATGCCTCTTCTATGTTTAGATACACAAACACTTATCATTGTGTTATAGTTGACTACAGTATTCAGTATTCACATGCTGTACAGGTCCATAGCCTAAGTATAGCCTAGGCGTATAGCAGGCTATATAATCTAGGTTTGTGTGAGTACACTCTAAGATAATCACATAACAATGAAATCGCCTAAGGACACATTTCTCAGAATATATCCCCATCATTAAGTGATACATGACTGCAATTAATACTGCATAAGCACAAACCAAATTCTCCTCTACCACCACTCTCATCCCCATCCCCAAAGTATTTATTACTACATAAAATACATCATTGTTTAGAATTATTTTTCTTATATCAAGATAGATTAGTTGTCAAAACATATAACTATAAAGAACAGCACCTTAATGTAATAGTGTTTTTTTTTTTCATCACAGACACAGTCCAGTGAATTAGCAAGAAACACCCAGGCTCCTTCTAGCCAGTGGCTCCACCCTTTCCTAGTGGCTTGCAAACCTCCATTGGACATGACTAGAAATGAGCACTGAGTGAGAGAGGTTTTGAAGGCTAGGTCTGAAACTATCATATATCACTTTCACCCACATTCCATGGCACTTCAGCTGCAGGAAAGGCTGGGACATACAGCCTAGCTATCAGCCCAGAAGAAAGAGGAAATGGTGTTTTATAAAGCAACACACTGATCACCAGAAGGACAGGTAAATATCCATTCCACTTTTTCTTATATGCAAGGAACACACTCATCTCTGCCTCAGTGGGTCCCCCAGGGTTTGGGTGGGAAAAGTTTAAAAAAAAAAAAAAAGAGCAACTGCTTTGACCCTTGCATAGGCAGGATTAGCCCTCGAATGTACAAACTGATGCTTCCTTGATTCATTGTGATTTGTATGAGAACCAAAGGGAGCTAAAATGTCAGGTAGAGGGTAAGCCTAAAGTCTTTCTCAGCAACATCTTTACAGGGACTTCTTTCTAGAGGCACAAATCTCAAATGGCTGGGGGAGTGCAGATCAGGAGGAAGGGCAGGAGAGCTAAACCCTGAAATGGAAGGCTTCCTCATCAAATCTATGCAAATACAGGGACCAGTACATTGCCCGTGTCCCCACTCTTGATAACTCCGTTTGAATGAGGGATTTCAAGCCTAATTTGGTGACAGAGCATAGAGGGGACAAAGGATATTCACATGGAACTGGCCCAGAGAGTCAACTGGAATACATTTAATAATACAGTAATTAGCTCCTGCCATTCTTTGCATAATAGTAATGAATCCTGTAGCACTTAGGTCACAGAACTCCTAAACTGGCTTATAACCTTAATAAATATCTGTATTTATGGATAGGCAACATTATGCTGGGGAATTAAACAAGGGAATTAATCAACAGGGAGGCTCTGCTCATTGTTGTCACTCAGAAACTTAGGTGATCACTAGAGCAGTGGTAAGAAAAGGAAGTGAGATTCATGCAACTTCTACTCACACACCATAGAGAGTAAGATTTTTAGCCACTTACCACTTCACAAAAAGGAAGAAAAAGAACCCATTTAATGAATAATACTTATGCTTTCCACAAATGCTAATCAAGATTCTAATGAGATTTGGGGAGAAGAGGGTGAACTTGACAAACCTACTGAAAAATTCATCTTTAAAACTAGAAGAATAAATAAGCATTATAAAAATATGCAGGGAATTAGAAAGCTGCTATAATCAATACAGCATGGGAGAAGAGATATACTGAACTGTTGGGCAAGTCAGATAAGTATATATAAGAACATAAATACTACAGCAGAAACCACAAAGCAATGAGTATGAAACAAGCAAATGTTAAGAAAAATAGTTTTATATTTGGAAAAAAAGAGTTTGGATATGTAGCTCAAATTATATTCTTAAATAAGTAACAAATAATGGAGTTAAATGTAAACACTCAAATAATTTAAAAACAAGCTAGAAAAAATATAAATTCTCTTCAATCTCAAATAGAAAATATCTTTTATCACTTTGGGAGGCCGAGGCTGGTGGATCACGAGGTCAAGAGATCGAGACCATCCTGGTCAACATGGTGAAACCCCGTCTCTACTAAAAATACAAAAAATTAGCTGGGCATGGTGGCGCGTGCCTGTAATCCCAGCTACTCAGGAGGCTGAGGCAGGAGAATTGTCTGAACCCAGGAGGCGGAGATTGCGGTGAGCCGAGATCGCGCCATTGCACTCCAGCCTGGGTAACGAGAGCGAAACTCCGTCTCCAAAAAAAAAAAAAAATACCTTTTATAAAATAAATGCAAGGAGAAGACTGGCAAAGGAAAACCTTGATGATTTTGCATTTATGAACTTAAACCTCTTATTTGCCATTAAAAATGAAAATATAAACCTCCAGCAATAGAGAGTAGGTTGAACAAACATTGTTACCATTGTTCTCTCGAAAATGACACCTAAGGCCAGATGCCGTGGTTCACATTTCTAATCACACTTTGGGAGGTCAAGCTGGGCTGATGGCTTGAGTCCAGGAGTTTGAGACTGGCATGGGCAACCTGCAAAACCCCTTCTCTAGAAAAAAAAATACAAAAAATTAGCCAGGCATAGTGGCAAGTGCCTGTAGTTCCAGGTAGTCGGGAAGTTAAGGTGGGAGGATCACCTCAACCCAGGAAGTCGAGGCTGCAGTGAGCCACAATTGCGCCACTGCACTCCTGCCTGGGTGACTAAGTGAGGCCCTATTCCCAAAACAATGACAACAAAAATGATACTAAAATCTTAGTAAAGAGATTTACTATGAAAAAAATAAAGAAAAAATAATTTTACATTTATGTTTATGGCCGAGGGAAACATAGCGATTGGTTGGTAACCTTACAGAGAGCTGTGAAGGTTTAAAATGTCTGCTCTTTGAAGTAGCTCCAGAAAATTAGTACAACCTCTATGGAAGACCATGTGGAGATTTAAAAATATATATATATATAACTACCATTCTATCTAGCAATCCCACCACTGGATATCTAACAAAGGAAAAGAAATCATTATATCAAAAAGATACCTGCACTTATGTTTATTGCAGCACTCTTCATGACAGCAAAGATAGGGAATCAATCCAAGTGTCTATCAACAGAAAATAGGATAAAGAAAATGCGATGTATTCACACACTCACACGCACACACGCACACAATGGAATAGTATTCAGCCATCAAAAAGAATGAAAGTGTGTCTTTTGAAGCAACATGGATGGAACAGAAGGTTGTTATCTTAAGTGAAACAAGTCAGAGACAGAAAGTCAGATACCACATGTTCTCATTTATAAGTGGGAGCTAAATAATGCATATACATGGGCATAGAGTGTGGAATAATTGACGGTGGAGTCTTAGAAGGCTGGGAAGGTGGGGAGCAGTGAGAAATTACCTAATGGGTACATTATTGGGTGATGTTATACCAAAAGCCCAGACTTTACCACTATGCAATATATTCATGTAACAAAATTGCACAGATATTCCTTAAATTTATACAAATTTTGAAAAGAAGAGAGGTTCTAGGTATACATATGGTATATACATATAGATGTACGTGGAGTGAAGTTTTCAGTTTTCAATTACTTAGATATGCTGAATTGCCAGAATTACCCTTTAGAGTACCTTTTATATACAAGATCATGAAAAATCAAAACCAAATAATTAACTTGTTTTTTGTAAGTTTGATTCTCCAGGCTTCTTTTTCTAGGGAAAACGGAAACCAAGGTTTGATCTGGATGCAAGGAATAAATATAGGCTTAAGAAATAGTAATTTTCCTCTCTGTTCTTTAAAGCACAACAATATTGGAATTAGGTTGGGCACAGTAGCTCACACTGTAATCCCAGCACTTAGGGAGGCTGTGGCAGACAGATCACTTAAGGTCTCCTGACCTTAAGGTCTCTTCAAGACCAGCCTGGCCAACATGGTGAAACCCCATCTCTACCAAAAAGACAAAAATTAGTCGGGCATGATGGCACACACTTGTAATCCCAGCTACTCAGAAGGCTAATACAGGAGAATTACTTGAATATGGGAGGTGGAGGTTTCAGTGAGCCATGATTGTGTCACTGCACTCCAACTTAGGTGACAGAGCAAGACCCTGTCTCAAAAAAAAAAAAAGAAAGAAAAAAGAAATTAGGCCAACAATCTTAGAATGGCCTCTCAATGTTCCAGTAAAAGAAAGAGTTAGTTGCAAATCTGAGGTAGAAATTATTAAGCTTAATGAGAAAGGCATGTCAAAAGTTAATATAGACTGAAAACTAGGACTCTTGAGCCAAGCAACTAGCCAAGTTTCAAATACAAAGGAAAAGTTCTAGAAGGACATTAAAAGTGCTATTCCAGTAAACACATGAATGATAAGCAAAACAGCCTTATTGCTGATATGGAGAAAGTTTTAGTGGTCTGAACAGATCAAACCAGCCACAATATTCCCTTAAGTCTAAGCCTCATCCAGAGGAAGGCCCCGATTCTCCTCAATACCAGGAAGACTAAGAGATGTGAGAAAGGAGCAGAAAAAAGTTTGAAGCTAGCGAAGTTGGTTTATGAGGTTTAAGGAAAGAAGCCATTTCCATAACATAAAATATAAAATGCAGCAGCAAGCGCTGATCTAGAAGCCACAGCAAGTTATCTAGAAGATCCAGCTAAGATTATTACTACTTATGAAAGTAGCTGTGCTAAAACACATGTTTTCAGGGTAGATGAAACAGCTTTCCATTGGAAGATCATGTGATCTTGGACTTTCATAGCTAGAGAGAAGTCAATGTCTGCCTTCAAAGCTTCAAAGGACAGGCCTACTCCCTTGTTAGGGGCTAATGAAGCTGGTGACTTGAAGCTGAAACCAATGCTCATTTATCATTCTGAAGATCCCTAGGCCTTTAAGAATTATGCTAAATCTATTCTGCCTGTGCTTTATGAATGGAACAACAAAGCTTGGATGACAGCACATCTGTTTATGGTATGGTTTATTGAATATTTTAACCCACTGTTGAGACTTACTGCTCATAAAAGAATACTCTTCAAACATCATTGCTCATTGACAAGGCACCTAGTCAGCCAATACCTCTGATGAAGATACACAGGAAATTAATGTTTTCATCCCTGCTAACACAATATTCATTGTGTAACTCATAGATCAAAGAGTAGTTTTCCACTTTCATGTCTTATTATTTAACAAATATATTTTGTAAGGCTGTAGCAGCCATAATTATTCCTCTGGTACATCTGGGTAAATTGAAAACCTTCTAGAAAGGATTCACCATTCTAGATGCCATTAAGAACATTCATGATTCATGGGAGAAGGTGAAAATAGGAACATTAACAAAAGTTTGAAGAAGTTTATTCCAACCCTCATGGATGACTTTGAGGGAGTTCAAAACTTCAGTGGAAGAAATAACTACAGATGTGTGAGAAGAGCAAGAGAAATAAAATTAGAAGTAGAGCCTGAAGACATGCCCGAATTGCAGCAGTTTCATGGTAGAACTTGAACAGATGAGGAGCTGTTTCTTATAGATGAGTGAAGAAAGTGGTTTCTTGAGTTGGAATCTACTTCTAGTGAAGATGCTATGAACATTATTGAAATGACAACAAAGGATTTTGAAGATTACATAAACTTAGTTGATAATGCAGCAACAGCGTTTAAGAGGATTGACTGCAATTATGAAAGAAGTTCTGCGGTGGGTAAAATGCCACCAAACTGCTAGCATTGTATGCTACAGAAAAATTATTCACAAAAGAGTCAAATGATGCAAGAAACTTCATTGTTCCTTATTTTAAGAAATTGTCATAGCCACCCCAACCTTCAGCAACCACCACCCTGACCAATCAGCAGCCATCAACATTTAGAGAAGACTCTCCACCAGCAAAAAGATTTTGACTCATGAAAGACTCAGTTGATCATTACCATTTTCTATAAATAAAGTATTTTTTAGTTAATATGTACATTTTTTACATAATGCTGTTGCACACTTAATACATTCTAGTGTAGTGTAAACATAACTTTTATGTGGACTGGGAAACCAAAAGATGCATGTGATCACTTTGTTGCAATATTTCCTTTATTGCATTGGTCTAGAACCAAACCAGCTACATCTCCAAGATATGCCTGTGTAATGAAGTGTCTGGATATATGAGCAATATTTAAACATTAATAGCTTTCTCCCCTATCAGTAGGAAAGCATTCGAAAAATTAATGAAGCAGTTTTTAAAATTACAACAAGAAGATAAATCATCTAGGAAAAATCTTAATGACAAATACTTGAGATTTACATAAAGAAGACAAAAGTTTACTAAGAGATCCAAGAATTCATTAAACATTAGGGGAAAAAAAGACTCAGATTACATGTAGCTGTAAACTAAATCAAACCAAGTATTCAAGAAGGATGTAGAATAATGCCAGGTGCTCTTTTGAGCAAATGCTAAGTTAAATGCACAATCCATTGATACAGGCTAAAATAGGTCAGCTGAAATGTTCTTTAATACACCTATTAGTTCTTATCCTATTGTTCCAGTGAACTAGAAATGTATATGTCCTGATGCTATCAATAACTCTCTCTCTCCTATATAAGGTGCTTTTTTCTAGTCACATATTAGAAGAAGTCATTATATAAGCTCAGAAATGTATGTTATAAATTGTTAGTGTCATCTTTTTAAACATAACAGCCCTTTTTATTTGTCTTCTTACAGTTCCTTTGGAAGGACTAAGAAGTCAAAGCCAGTTTGAGGAGATGAGATCAAGCTACATTAGAGAGCTCATCAAGGCAATTGGTTTGAGGCAAAAAGGAGTTGTGTCTAGCTCACAGCGTTTCTATCAACTTACAAAACTTCTTGATAACTTGCATGATGTAAGTATTTGGTTGATTCCAGAATATCAGTGATTATTCTCTGAATTTCTGTAACTTTTTTAATGTTACATGTAAACTTAATATGATTTTCTCAGATTAATACTAGTATTTTATAAGTGTTTGGATCACACTGCTCAGACTTTATATTGTGTTTTTTTCATTTTCAGTATAGACCAGCCAAATATTCTTTTACAAGTATTTATTTAATTTGAGAATAATTTAATAGCTGGTAGCAATTATGGTACATTTCCTGAATATGTTCTAAAATATTTGTGCCTAAAATTATAAAAGACTATATATACAATAAAAACAAATATATGTATGTGGAAAATAAGACTCACGCCATTTCAAATGGAATTATAGATAACATTGCTGATGGATAGGCAATCAGGCAATATATAGCAAAAGTTAAAATGTGCATGCTTTTCAAGTTTCTATGTTTTAGGATTTATCTCAAAGAAATAATTAGGCCAATGTAATATGCATGCAAGGATGTTCACCATAGCAGAGGGGAAAAAAGAAAAAACAAGAAATGCCCAATACCAGAAGTGGATAACTAAGACAAGATACCTGTGGTTTGTCAAGATATATCAAATACAAGCTTTTACTGCTACTATGTTCAGATCACATTAAAATGACAATGAAGGCATAAAAAAGCTATCCATTCACCAGGTCAACTTTTGAGATCTTACTCTTGAATATGAACAGTCAAGATTATGAACTATTTGAGTAAAGTGTCTAAAATGAAAGGCAGAAAGCAAAATAAGAAGAAAAAAACTTGAAGGAAATAAACACCAGTGCAGAGAACAGAAGACTTCCACCATCCTCAGAGAAATAAGAATGATATTGTGTCCATGACATGAGAACAGAAAACATTTTTAAAAGGAACATTTAGCAGGAAAATATTTTTGGATAATTAAATAAAGAAAAGCAGAAATTTAAAATTCAATGAAAGGGCTGAAATAGAAAGCCCTTTCTATATTCAATGAAAAATCTGGGGAAAAAATAATTTAAAAGATAAAAACATGAAAGATTAGAAAGCAGAGTTATAGTAAATTTAGCATCCACGGGTTTCTAGCCTCCAGTTAATAGGAATGTCCAGAAGAAAAAATACAGAAAATCAAGGAGAGAAATTTATGTAAGAAATCATGAAAGTTGCTGGAATTGAAAAAGAGGAGTTTTATAACAGTAAGGATTCGGGGTAGAGGTAGAGGCACTGCACAGTTGAACTAAGGTACATTATTGTAAAACTACAGCATGCCAGAAATGAAGAGAATATTTTAAAGTATACCAGTGATGAAAGAAACAGGTCACATAGAAGTTGTCAGGATTATATCCACTTCCCATGGAAGAGGAAAGGAAAAAAAGAATAATTTTTAAAAACGTTATCAGGATTCAGAATGATATTGGACTTCTCAACACCTACAGTGGAAGCCAGAAGACAGTGGAGCAATGCCTTCAGAATTTGCTGGAAAACAAAATCTTCAAAGAATTTCATACCCATCCAAACCATCAAACAAGTACAATGGCAGCATAAAAGTATTTTCAAACATGCAAGGTCTCATAGAGTTTACATCAGACACAACCTTTCTCAAGAACTGCTACAGGATGTCTTATAAGAAAACACAAGAGTAAGCCAAAGATCTTCCCCAAGAGAAATGCAAATTGGTGTCCCAGTATAGTAACTGTGCAGAGCAGTGATTTGTCTAGATTGAAGCAGTAATACAAAGGATTCTAGGATAGCAGCTCCAGGAAAAATAAATGGAACTGGGAGATTACCAGTAAGTATGACTGCAATTAAGGTGGTTTTTACAATTATGTCATGAATTTGACCATGGCTTTGTGACAGATATGGAGAAAACAAAGCAAACAAAAACATGAGGTGATTCACTTCACTTTTGGAAAATAAAAATGAGTCATAAGAATGGAAATGTAATCCAGCAGAAAACCATAAAAAATTGTTATAATATAAATGCTAGAGATTGACTTTAACCAAAAATTGAAATATAACTGGGGAGAAGAAAAAGTGTGTATAGCTGAGGAGAGTGTCTAGTATGAGAGAACTTCTTTTCTTCATTTCCCATAGTAGAAACTGAAAAGATTAACTTTGGTGGAAATACAGAAGGAAATATCAAAAGACACAGGCTACAAAAAGTTGAAAGTAGTTGTGTCTAAGGGGCTAGAATAGGGAAGGGAAGAAGTCTATCAGGAAACTGCTGGGTTTTATTGATGCTGCTGCTGATTTTATTTTTATAATCAAGTAGTATTTTTGACTTTTAAAATTATACACATGAATTACTTTGATAAAAATTAGATTAAAGTAAACTATGTTGGATTATTGGCATAGGAAGAATCAATATGTTATATAAAACTGCTAGATTAGCAAATAGAATTTATAAGTGTATGTAATATTATGTGTATACACTTATGTCTGTATATGTGTATAAAAAGAAACAAAAACTTGAGTAATACACCAAAATGTTCACACAGCTTACCCTGTGGAATTATAACTTTTATTTCTTTAAATAAATCTTTCCATATTATCAGAATGTTTCATCACAAGTATATAATATTTTGCATATTATTCTAGAAAATGGTGGGGGTTATTTTCATTTTAGTAAAAAGAAAACACCTTGAGAAGTATTAATGTTACATATATTAGAAAAATAAGTTGCCATGTTTGAAAAGCATATGAATTTATTATTTTTATTATATGTTTTCTATTCATTTGTTAAACCAACAGCTTGTCAAGCAACTTCATCTGTACTGCTTGAATACATTTATCCAGTCCCGGGCACTGAGTGTTGAATTTCCAGAAATGATGTCTGAAGTTATTGCTGCACAGTTACCCAAGATCTTAGCAGGGATGGTGAAACCCCTTCTCTTTCATAAAAAATGAATGTCAGCTTTATCTTTTAAAGAATTAAATTTTGTGGTATATCTTTTTGTTTTGGTCAGGATTATGAGGTCTTGAGTTTTTATAATGTTCTTCTGAAAGCCTTACATTTATAACATATCATAGTGTGTAAATTTAAGAGAAAAATTGTGGGGTTCTAATTGTTTTCCTTTATAAAGTATAATTAGAATGTTGTTTGTAACTGTTTTGTGTACCCATATTTTCTTGAAGAATTTACAAGACTGAAAAAGTACTAAAATTGATTGTTAAAGTAAACTATATCTTATCCATATTATTTCATACCATGCAGGTGAGGATTTTTAACTTTTGCATCTAACAAGTCATCTACTTAAGAGAAAAAATCTAACCTGTAATAAGACAAAGTTATTATATAAGTTATTTCTAAGTAATTCCTTTTGTCTCAATTATATTTCCAAAAAAGTGAACCTTTAAAATGGTATGCAAAATTTTGTCTACATATTTGTGTGAGAAGGAAATTCATAACCTTCATCAGATTTTCAAGTCTTTTCAATGCAAAAAAAAGAGAGAAAGAGTTGAAAACAGCTAAAACATATTGATGTTCTTCAAACTAGGCCAAACAACTCATATGTTAAGACAATTTCCAGATAGGAAACACAAATCCCTTAGGAAGTTAATAAGTAGATTTATATTATTATGCAAATAGTATTGTAAGTTTTGTAAGTTTTTAAAATAACCTTCTTTGGGGAAGGGAATTGTCCTCTAATGAGATATTACCAGCGGAAATAAGAAGTCAGAAGATATTATGGCCTAACTGTACTTCTTACCACCTGTTGCATGTTGAAACTTAATCACCCTTACTGATTCTCAATTCTCTCACCTTTGAATGTAGTAAAGTATCTTTCCTGCCAATTGCTCCTTTTGGTCAGAGCTTATTAACATCTTTTCCAATCTAAGGAAGGAAGAAAGGGAGAGAAGAAAGAGGGAGATATCAGTTCACATACTTTTCTCCTCTTTATCATGAATTCATCTTATGTTTCAGCCATGCAAATCTTTTTGCCAACAAATTTCTGCAGAATTTTTCCCCTTTTACACTAATTCCATGCATGTTTGAACCTTCAAGACTCAGCCACATATTATTTTTCTAAAATCTTCCCTGAGTCTTCCAAGCAGTGATTTGCCTTCTCCTAGACTTAACCTGCCATTTTGTGCACATTTTAAGTTACAATTTCATGTTGTTTTACAATTCTGACCTGAGTCTGGGAAGCACACAAAGTGGACAATAGTGTTTGTTGACTGAGAGTTGAATGACGTTCTCTCTGTCCTGGTATTACCATAGATTTTGATCATTCTTTGGTTACATCTCTGCATATTTCTGTATGCATGACTTTATCACTTTCTTCTCCCATGCTTTCTTATCTCGATAAATTATCTCCATCACTTTTAAATTTTCCACCTTTGCTTCCCACTTTGTAAGATCTCTCACTTTACTGACTATAACATAGAAGTGTATTTTATGTGTCTTAAGGACAATACTTTAGATTCCTTGTTCTAAGTTTTTAAACTGAATGAATAGAATATTATTTTTCTCCCTAAGAAAAATTTCACAAAAAATTATTTCTTATGTTTATGTAGCCTTAAATTGTTTTGCACTGTAAACCTCAATATAAACTTTCTTCATTTCTAATTTCATTCAACAGATATTGATTGAGTACAAGAAAAGTGTGCTAATAAGCCTTACGAGAATTTGGAGCTGAAGAAAGACTATATAACTCAGGAAAGTTACAGTCCAGTAGTAGGTATAAATTACAGTGCCTGATAAGTAGGCATTTTCATATTTGTTGAGGGTATGAATTTTCTCATACCTCAACAAATACAAGATAGGTGCAAAACATTATTTACATATAATTTTACTGATACACGTGTAGCACAAAGGTACTAACTTTAAAGTAAATATTAAATTACACCTTTATTTAGGTGTGTTAGTAATTCATTTGCATTAAATCTATATGTACATTTATTGAAAAAGCTTTCAATATCTTTTTCCCCACAAATATCATTCCCAGAAAAGTATTTTTAAAATCTCCCAAATATAATGGTTATAGGAAATCTACCTCTGTGAGAGTGACACCTCTCAAAATGGACTGTGTGACATAAGAAAATGAATGTAGGTCTGTCAAAAAAAAAACCCAATAAACAAAAACAATATTATTAGCCCTTTATGCTTAAGAAATGGACTCAGGGAATAGTTAATGTTGTGATTGCTATCTGATTCTTGTTACTTTGAATTAAACCAATATTTTGATGATACAAATCATTTTCCACCAGCATAGATTTAATTTCCATAATAGCTTTAAAATTTTATAATTCACTAAACTATGAGGGAATAGATTGTGGTGGCCACGGGTTTGGCTTTTGTTAAGAATGTTCGATATTTTTGATGTTGATCTCTGTCTGAAATGTAGATGTCTAAACACTAGGATTTAATATTTAAGGCTAAGCTTAAAACAAAAAAATCTTTTTTAAAAAAATAGGGCTTTACCAAATGGAAAATATCTACTTTCTAAAAGTTTTTCTCTACAAAGTCCTATCTACTAATGTCTCCATTACTACTTAGTCATCATAACCGTTACCTTCATTTCACAGGTCATGTTCTTTCTGGTAGCTCTGAAGTGAAACCAAATCTTAAGAAGACAAGTCACATATCAGGAAATACTTGCAGGTTACTGAAATAAATTCTTGAGTTAATGAAAATATTTTTCTTAAAAAGGTTTGAAAAGCCATTTGAGTCTTAAGCATTATGCCTACATTATTGGTAGTTATGTGACAGTTTTGTGTGTGTGTGTTTAATATTTAAAGAGATGGCACTTTTTAACAAGGCAATGCTATACTATTTTTTCCACATTAAGATAATTTGTTGCTCTACAGATGATATGGAAATACGATTAACAGTATGGATTTTACCAAAACTATGCCTCGTAAGTAGCCATGGCAGATCAACCTGTAACTTCTAAATTATCCACAGCTAGTCATGAGATTGAAGATGGACACTGTGGAGAGAGCTGATATAGGACTGTGCCCCCCTTCCCTGCCACTTACTAGCTAGATGAGATTAAGCAAGTCATTTAACCTCTGATTAAACCTGCCTTTGCCCAATGCTTTGTAATGAACAGAAATGGAAACCAAAAAATTTATACCGGTGTTCAGAAATAGTAGTTGCTGTTATTTTGTTTTCATTAAGCCATAGTTCTGACTATAATCTTATCAAACTAACAAGCTATATTCTATAGTGAAACCAGGATTCTAGAAAGTCTCATTGCTTTATTTGTGTCGCTATGTGCTATGATATATTTGACTAAATTCATTTGAAATTAGGGCTGGAAATATTCAAGTAATTTCTGCTGAAAAAATACAGTGTTTTGAGTTTAGGGCCTGTTTTAAGATCTAAAGGGGCTATTACTCTTTAATTATGAATATTTAAAAATAATGACCCTGATTTTAAGATTTTTAAGTGTCTTTTTAGAATAGAGAGACTGACTAGAACACAGCCCCTCCAAAAACCCATGCATGCTCAAATTATTTTTACTATAGCTAGCAATTCCACAAAAGGGAACAGTGGGTCTAGAAATCACAATGAAGTCATCAACCCAAAAAACAACATTCCTATTCCTAAGAAGGTTATGATATAAAATCCCACAAGAAATCTGTTATGTCTGCTTTGATCTGTCTTGTATTCCTTTGGTAGGATGGCAATTACATTTTTAGCTTTTGCTGTGAATACCTGAGCAATTTCTCTCATCCATACTTACCCTTCACACATCAGAAGTCAGGATAGGATATGAATCCTTTTAAATATTTTTACAACTCCAGAGCCTTGTGCGGAAGAATCACTCAAAACTCACAAAAATACGTATTTTTTTCAAATTTAAAGATACTCTATTTTTGTATTCAATAACTCAACAACTGTGGTCCCCACTAATAAAGTGAGGTGGACAAGAAGACAACTCAAGTAATGGCATAACTTTCTTTTTCCCAAAGTATGCCTGTTCATTAGCCATTGGATGTGGGAAATTTCTACATCCCTTACAATTTTACAGGAAATACATAGCCAGATAGTCTAGCAAAAGTTTGCCAAGTCCTAAATTGCTTATCCTTGCTGCAGTAAGTCATGAAATGATTTTAATGATAAGAATATCACCTAGGTTTTGTAGTTTTGTTTTTTTCTTATGGTGAAGTGAAAAGAACAGTATCTGTTTCTCCCTAGCATCTGCTATGTAATATACCATTATTCCACACTCTCTTGTCCTTATCAAATCCAAAATTGAATGAAAAGCAGTAAAAGAACTGACTACTCACCCATATTATGATACAATCCAAACCAGATTGGTCAACATCCATAAGATGAATCCAAGCTGAACTGGGTCTAGATTATTGAATTCAGGTTGGATCTCATCCCTATTTATTTATAAAATCAGGAAAAAAGGTCTTACAGACCAGCTGCAGATAATAGAACATACACTTTTAAAGTTAGGCCTGAATCAATGTGGCCTTAAAAACTAAAAAGCAGCAGCATAGTTTTTTAGTAATTTGTCCACCCTGTCCCTGAAGAAAATTTAAGAATTTGGGGGTGTTGGTAGTAAGTTAAACATAACAGCTGTTCATGGCAGAAATGATTTAATACATACATTCTCTGAATATCCTATAACCAAAGCAAAGAAAAACACCAAGGGGGCTTGTTCTCCTCCTTGAAGCTGACCGCATTCCAAGGCAGAGCTCAGGTCACATGCCCAGGGGCTGTGCCCAAGCTTGTCCACAGCCTTATGCAGATGTGGAGTCTGGAAGCCTGCTGCAGGACTGCTGGCTTAGTCCCAGAATGTCAGCCTCATTTTCGATTTACTGGCTCTTGTTACTTTATGTCATGCTGACCTTATTGTTAAACACAGGTTTGTTTGCTTTTTTCCCCACTCATGGAGACATGGGAGAGGCACTATTTTTAATCTGGTTGAAAGCTTTAAGTGATAAAGCATTTTTAGAGAAATGTGAATCAGGCAGCTAAGAAAGCACACTCTGTCCATTACTTTAAAGAAAATGTACAGATTATTAACTCTGCAGTGTGGCATTAGTGTCCTGGTCAATATTTAGATAGGTATGAGTAAAATATTTAAATGGTATTGTAAATAGTTTTCAGGATATACGCTATAGCTTATTTTTATTATCTTTGGAAATTGCTCTTAATACGTCAAATACTGATGTATTCAATTTATCAGATATAAATTATTCTAAATGAAGCTCAGTTAAATGTTTTTGACTTGTCAGTTATATGTTAAGCTTCTGATCTCTGTGATGTTTACTGATCTTTACTGTTATGAATTATTTTAGACAGCAGTGGTTTTAAGCTTTTTGCTACTAAAAATACCTTTTATTTCCCTCCCCCAGAAAAGTTTATACCTTGAATTATCTATCCACCAAACTGTACTTCTATTAAGAAATATTTTGTATTCTTAATGTTTTGTTATTCAAAGACATTATCAGTGAAAGCTGCCGAGCAGCATGAATAACAATTGTATCTACACAGATTTGATGTATCTTGTATAGCCTTAACTTGATAGTATAAAATTTCATTGCTTTTTAAATAATAGCTAAATAGTCAATGGACTTCTTTCATAGCTTTCCTAAATTTGATTAAGATCCAGAAGTTTAGGGTCATAATATATTCCATACAATTATCTTTTTTTAAGGGCTTTAAAATTCATAAGAACAACCAAAAAAAAGGTATATGGAGAGTTAATACAAACATACCGTATTCTTGTTGAAACAGCAATGTGGCTCTACTTCTTCTCCATCAGGAAGAAATACTATCCAGAATTTACCTAAACTAGTAAGCCCTGTATTCGTTATAATTAGGGACAGGAAGAGATTTTCACATGGCAGACTAGAATTCTTCGCATTAGCCAATAAAGTATCTCCTTTTGATCTTAGTATTGTTTTTTAACTTTTCTGAGATATGCATGTTTATATAAGAAAAACCACAAAGGTTTTTCTTAAATTAAAACCTTTTTACTGAAATTTGAAAGAAACAGAAGAAAATATCAAAGTTCTTTGTATTTTTGAAGAATTAAATATGATTTACGAAAGTTACATGGAGAGCTCTGTAAAACATTAACTTAAATTTTTTTTGTTGCAGTCTTACTTGAGGTATCATTTTATTCCTCAGCAACTAGCTGTGAAGCCTTTATTGTTTATATGCCAGTTACTCTGCCAGATTGTGGAATGACCAGTGTTCCTGCCTTCTCCGAGCTTAGAGTTGGATGGGGAATAAAGACAGGTAAATAGATACCTACAATATTGACTGTGAGTGCTATGGTGGAAGAAGTATGGGGAACTATTGGATCACCTAAGAGGAGCACCTAGCTTTAATTTAGGGGTTAGCAGAGACATCCTGAAAACAGACAAACTTAAGCCATGATCTACAAGCAGTTAAGGAATTAGCAGAGCATGCAGGGTTAGGAGATGCCAAAGGCAAGAAGAGAAGAAGAGTATTCCAAACAGGAGGGATCCCAAAGAGAGAAGAGTATCCTAAACAACAGATGCACAAATCTGATGGGAGAGAGAATGTGGAGTGGGGATGGATGATGAGATTGAAGAAGAAAGCCAGGTCCAGATAATCAGTGGCCTTGTACACCATGTTAAAGGGTGTAGCCTTATTTCTGTTGTAAACAGGAAAGCGGTACAATTCATGTGAATATTTTAGAAGACTCCCACTGGAATATGGAGAATAAAGTTGGAGATGACTAATCCTGGAAGCAGGGAGAACATTTTTGAGGAAGCTGCACTATTGGTGAAAATGATGGCCATAAACATGAAGAGTTGTAGGTGATCATGACCTCCTCTCTAATTTTCCAGAAGGTTTTTGGAAGATACACTATAGGAGCATTGACAGAACTGATGAAAGGAGAAATACACCATATAAATTGTCAAACACAATGCCAGGCATTTAATTATTTTGCCTATGCTTAGAAATTATAAATTTTTTATCAAGAAAGAAAACAAAAACTATGAAACTTAGTTTTACCTAGTCCCAGAATTCTGTGTATCCAAACGATCTCTTCCACTCCACTTATATCCCTACCTTTGCATGTCTGTCCAACCTCAAAGTCCAGGTCTATACACACAGGTAAGACTAGAGCAGCTTGACGTTCAGAAAATGAGAAAGAAAGGGGAACCAAGTTGTGCTGAACTCATACAAAATAAACACATTCTTTATATAGATGCGTGGAACCTCAAGAGGAAAGTAATTCACCCAACTCATAGGTATTTGATGGTATGAATCCATGGCTGCGCTCGGCTTTAAAAAATCTTATCTGAGATTCCCTCTATGGAAGTAAGTTCCATCAAAGCCCATTTAAAAGACTACATTAAAAAAAATTCTTGCTGCACAGACAGTATACAAATTATCAGCTACCACTATCAAACAGTCAGATCCCATTATCAAATGAAATTACAAAATAGTATACTCCCCCTAAAAAAGCTAAATTCTTTGTGGAGTGTTGTGACTTCACGAGCCCTCCACAGCATGGGAGCTGATGAGGGAGCACTGGTGAGCAGTAGGTTGAAGAGAAAACCTGGCACTTAAGAATCTACCCATCTTTTTTGTGTGTATAAGAGCCTTATTTTTGGATTACCTCATTCAATTTCCATCAAGGGCTGGATTTCCTTCTGGTTCTACTAACCAGACAGCAGCTGGGAAGGAAGCAACTTTCTATGTACACATGGTAGCTACAAGATGGGGGTTTCTTTCTCTGTGTCTTCACTGGCTATATGCAGGTCTCTTGCTATTTATGCCTGGTCACAGAACCCATTGCTGTCATCTCATATTTAAGTCTTTAGCTTGTGAATTTATTCTTTCCACTTCAGCACTGCAGAGTGCTGGGACTTTGCTAACTTCTCTTCCTTGCCGGCTTGGCAGATTCCTCATTCCTCTTAGGCCCAGCTGTTTTCTCATCTGGCTCTTTTTCCCATCTGGCTTCTGCTGTGGAGCCACCTTGTCCCTTCAGGAGAGCCATGCGTTACCACTGCCTGATAAGCCTCCACTTAGCTACCACCATGCTAAATTTAAACTTCTCTAAGATGTTGCAGACCTCACAGGCAAGCATAAAGTCTTGATTTTCCTGGACTCCCTTGTCTGGATATTCTGTTGTTCATCTCACCTCCTTCAAGTTTCAGTCTCAAAATACAGGCATTTGACCTCTTTGCCCTACCTCTTCCTTATTCTGAATCATGAGGGCCTCTCACTTCCTCTTGCTGTGTGCTGGAAACTTCTGTCAGGTCTTAGAATGAGTTCTCCTCTAGTCCTAGTAGCTCTCAATGCTTAAGTCCACCTTTTTAGGATACCTTTGAGATTTAGACCACTTGTTTCTCTTGAGAAACCCCTAATTTCCAGACTTGCCTTTCTGTGGATTTCAAAGACCAGTTGAGGAAGTCAGAAGCTTAATGCTGACTTTCTTTGAACATTTCTGCTATAACAATTCTAATTCTCCTTAGAGCAATATGCCTGCCTCCAACTGATGAGGAGAAAGGTCAGATGCCAAACAGAAAACCATAAATATTAATTATTTTAATAAGCACATAGTTTGAAAGTGCTTTTGGAATTCATATGAGGTTTTCTGTCAAGGGAGTGAGACCCTTCATCCTTCTGTGTGTGCCTGACAGTTCTCCTGGCACTGGCTGGTAACAGATACAAAACTGTAAAAATTAGGTGATCGTGGATTTTAACAATATTATCACATACTTACTTTCTATGTAATGTTTTATACTCCCCCTAAAATACTTTGACAGTTTTGCATTTAGTAGATATTCACATTTTTTTGTGTGTTATAGTTGATGAAATCTTCAATGTTATCCACCCCGTTGCTTGTTAGCAAAACTAGTGTTAATATGTGGCAAGAGATGCAGGGAACCTTTCTCATGACTCACGCCCTATTTAGTTCTTATTGCTACTACCCTATTTTGAATAAATAGTAGGTCACTAAGGACACTGTCCAGAGTTACACTTTTAAAGATATTTAGCCCCATATACTTCTTGAGTACTGAAGTCATACACTCTGCTCCTCATTTCTGAGTGGGAAAGACAACATTTGGGAGTACATTGGAAATTGATCTGAATGTTTTTGCCAAGAAGGTGATACTGTCCTTTCAACTGTGTATGCCTGGGGCTGGGTCCCTGGCAGTGATTGGGTGACAATGCAAAGCTGTAAAAACTAGGTGCTAGTGGGCACCTAACAACATTATCATATACTTATTTTCAAGCTAATATGCAAAATATATCTCTTTTTAAACTGACGGTTGATTTCAGAGAAAATATTTTGTGGTTCACATAAGCAGTCTGCTCAGCTTGACAAGTGTTTTATGTTAAACTGGCTGGTGGTTTGAAATGAATCATTTTTACATAATGTTTTCTTTAAAAATATTGTGAATTTAACTGTAATTCTTATTGTTATTCTGTGTGATAATAAAGAATAAACTAATTTCTATATCTCTCTTTATTAATGAATTATAGCATCTAATACCTCAGTACAATTACATACAAGACACATATCAATCATCAGTACATTCTTTACCAGGCATTTTAAATTTATGACCAACATTTCAGCTTGTATAATACTGTATGTGGTATAAGGTGAGATATTGATATGGAAGATTTGGCATGATAGAGACAATATCCTTGACTGTGTATGCATTTTAGCAAAGAGTGACTCTTGGGCAATTAAGTTGAAACCAACTACACAGTGTTTTAATCATAAAGATAAAATATAATCAACTGATATCTAGTAAGATTCAATAACATGCTGTGTCAGTTATTCACCTTGATTAAATAGTTTGATATTATAGAAACATGAATTTTCATATGAAATTTAATGCACTTGATGTTAAGGTGAAAGATAATCTACTTGTAATTACAAAGTATTTCAGACTATTGTTGTACACTGCTTTCACTACTAGGAGTATAATTTAGTATAGTCCTAGAAATATACAAATATTCTCCTTCAGTAAATAAAATAAAAACCTATAATGTAAAGGAACTGCTGCAGGCAAACCCGAAAATGGGGGCTCAGCTTGGGAGGATTTTTGGCTTAATTCAGAAAAGAATTCAAGAGGGAGCCCACAGTGAAAGAAAGCAAGCTCACTGGAGCAACAGCATCCAGCAAAATGGCTACTCCATAGGCAGAGGAGTGCTCGTGGGTTGCTGGCTAGCTCTATTTATACCAAGTCTTAATTATATGCTAACTATGAGGTCTGCTATTCACAGATTTTCTGGAAAAGTGGCAAGGAGTTCCTGGAACTATGTAAGGTAACTTCTGGGTGTTGACATGGCATTTGTAAACTGTCATGGTGCTGGTGGCAGTGTCTCATAGCATGCAGATGCATTATAATTTCTAGTCCTAGCTGATTTGGGCCAGTTTCTTTGCTACATCCTGTTTTTGATCAGCAGGGTCATGGAAACAAGGCCTGGTGATCTTTACCTCAGAACCATGTTAGGTCTTGGAGCCACAAAGATAAATGAGTAGAAAATAATTCTTGCTGTCAATTTGAGTTGATTCAATGCCACATATTAATTGTTTGAAATGTCAAAATATTTGTTTCTTATTGAATCAACTAGATTTGGAACAACTGGAAAACTACTGGATCATTTGGCCATGAAAATGTTCCTATAACATAAATACTTTTTTATTTATTCCTGGCTCGTACTATGTTTTTAGTTTTTAAACATGCCACCATATTCAGATTTATAAATATAAATATTGTTGAGAAACTTCATATTTACCTATGAAACAACACACTGGTTTTTATAAATACTTGAATTTTATAGTTGGTGGAGTTTTTCTAATCAAAGTTAACTAATGAATAAAGAGAAAATGTGGGAAGTGGCTATGAATGTAAACCCACGAGACCTTTCCCTTGTGTCACTATGTCACTGTATGGAGTGACTATAACAAACTAAGAGTATAGTTCTCTCTACACTGATCATGAATAAATATTTAACATCTAAAAATCAACTTTTTAAAAGCTGTATTTTGGTTAAATGGCAGGAGGTTATATTTACCTGATCAGTGAATCTAATCTCATCTTATAAATAATCGAATCCAAATAAGTAGAATAACCTTATAACATGCAGAGATCTGTGACCAGTTACTTGTAAGCTGTTTGAAATTCATAAAGCTTAAATCACTTAGGTACTCTATAAAAAAGAAAAGTATTTTTATGTCTGAATTATGTCAGCTACCCATAATTATGCTGTGATATTAGAGAAGCAGTATAGTACATAGGGTATATGCTCTGGAGCTACACCGTCTCAGTCTCCCTTCAGGCTATACCACTTGCTAACGCTGTGACCCTGCAACATACTTTTACACTCTGCTCTAGTTTTCTTATCTGTAAAATGGATATAAAAATAGTACCTATTTCCTAGGGTTGTTATGAGGATCAAATCAGTATAAGAAAAATAAACTTAGAGCGATGTGTGACATAAAAATCACTATTTAGGTGTTTCATCCAATTTAAGTGGCTTTTTCCTTAGTAGATAAATGATTAAGAGTACAAAAGACATTAAACTTTTATATTAAGTATTCAGTAAAAACCATTTTTAATATTTTAGGTCATGGGAAATTCAGTAGCATAGTCACTATCAAAGTCAATTTTTTTCAGCAAAGGAGAAACTCAGCAAGGAGAAACTGTTTCAAGTGAAAAAAATATAGGCTATAAATCAAAAAAGTTTCTGTCTGAATAGCCACAGTTTTTCAGTTTTTGTGCCTGAAATAGTTTCTGCATGGGGCAGATTGGACTAACCAAATCTATCTCATTTTTATGGATCTAGCCAAACTGTCTTCTCCAGTAAATAATGTTTTTAATTATATACAAAGAGGGAAAAAAAAGATTTTTTGAAGTTATGAGATATACTGAATAAGAGAATAATGGAAAAGCTATTTATAAAATAGTTAAGATTAGATTAAAAATCTAAAGTTTTATTTTGTTGTCACTAAAGGGCTCCAACATTGTTTATATCTCAGAAATTACTGGCCAGCCGTGGTGGCTCTCACCTGTAATCTTAGCACTTTGGGAGGCCGAGGTGGGCAGATCACTTGAGGTCTGGAATTCGAGACCAACCTGGCCAACATGGTGAAACCCTGTCTCTACTAAAAATACAAAAATTAGCCCATCATGGTGGCACGCACCTGTAATCCCAGCTACTTGGGATGCCGAGGCTGGAGAATCACTTGATTCCAGGAGGGAAGGTTGCTGTGACCACAGATCATGCCACTGCACTCCAGCCTGGGTGACAAGAGTGAAACTCCATCTCAAACAAACAAAAAAATTATTATGGGAAACACAAAGTAGGATCTTTACTTTGAGAAATATTGTTTTGTGTAGTCCTTGTTTTAACACATGATTAACCACTTGGAAATCTAAAATAACTTTTTTTTTCAAACAAAACTGGACTCAGATATGTGAATGAAATATGTTTGAAAACAAAATAAAATCCAATATTAATCATTTTTAACCTCTGTATATCATAATGTAGGTAGTATATTTACTGTTTTGCTTAGTGTGTTTTATTTTTCTTTTTATGGCAGAAAAAATTGTCATTTATTTTCAAATATTATAACATCTAAAACCAGAACGTATCCTATAATACATGTTTTCATACAATGCTATGTCCCAAGTAGAAGTCATATGCAGTTGTGTAAAAACTTTTCCTTGATACCTCCTGTTAAGATTAGAAGACAGCACAAGCATCCTAGTGCTTTACATTCAATTAAATACAGTGTATGTATTCATTCTTCATTAATACAATTTCATTTCTCCTACTTCTTTTACCTTATGCTCATATCAATTCTTAATTATTACAGACAAACAATCAATATGAAATCAGTATTACTGGTTTTTTTAGCTGTCACTGGTTTGAGTACATACAATGCACTAGGTCTTATATTAGAGAAAGTTATATATATTCTCCCTACCCATATAGCAATCAATACAAGCTAAATCTGAGTCACATTGTACAGAAGTATAAGTAGAGGTTCAGAGTAGTTCACGAAACCTGAAAAACACCAGGTGCGGTGGCTCATGCCTATAATCCCAGTACTTTGGAAGGCCTAGGTGGATGGATCACCTGAGGCCAGGAGTTCAAGACTAACCATGGTTTCACCATGGCCAACATGGTGAAACCCCATATCTACTAAAAATACAAAAATTATCCAGGCATGGTGATGGGGGCCTGTAATCCCAGCTATTTGGGAGGCTGAGCCACAAGAATTGCTTGAACCTTGAAGCAGAAACTGTCATGAGTTGAGATCACGCCACTGCATAGCTCTAGCCTGGGCAACAGAGCAAGACTCCATCTCCCCCACAACATTTTTTTAATTAAATCAATAAACCTGAAAAACATTTTTTGAATGATGTTTTCTTCCAAAAACAAAAAAAGTTTTTGTCACAGAAAACTGGAAAGAGGGGAGTCAATGTTTTGGGAAAATAAACTATAAACAGCTCTAATTTCCCAACAGCACAGCCTATGCCAAGGAATTCATCAGAGATCAAAAGAAACTCAACTCCTCTCCTACTAAATTTAAGATTAAAGATTGCATTTAGGTTAAAGTCCTGGAAATATATTCAGAGACAGAACATTTTCTTGCAAGTAACTGACATGGTCTGTGCAGTTGGGGAAGCTGTCTCTTTAGCGACAGAAGATTGCACTTTGGATTAAAGGGTTGACTGATAGCTCCTAGATCTATAGAAATTTATACAGTAGTTTAAAAAAATACATATACATCTAAAAATATTTATCTTAAAATTTTACTCTGTGGTATTAGGAAATGCTCTAAAAATTGTGATGAATATACCATTTCTTGAAAATCAAAAGTTCCTCTGATTTAACCTTTAACACTGGATCATTTGGAAAGGAAGGTTTTAATTTTTTTTTAACACTTCTTTAAATTTTTGTTAATACTTTAAGTTCTGGGATACATGTGCAGAATATGCAGGTTTGTTACATAGGTATAAATGTGCCATGGTGGTTTGCTGCACCCATCAACCCGTCATCCACCTTATGTATTTCTCCTAATGCTATCCCTCCCCTTGCCCCCTAACCCCCTGGAATGTATTTTAATAGTTGGAACTCTCAGAATAAAATATTATTCTCAGTATTTTTATTATATTTATTAAATAATTCTTATATAATTGATGACAATATCCTATTTCAAAGCTTCCTTATTTTATCTGAATGTTTTAATCTTTATGAAGCAGAAGGTTAAGATAAGTAACCATAGAAGGAGAACGATCCAAGATGGCCGATCGCTAACATCCCGGGATTGCAGCTCTCAGGGAAGGTGCCGAAAACTAGAGGACGCCACACTTTCAGACAAATTCTGGTCGCTCACGGAGCAGAAGATCCCCCAGTGGAGGAAACACACGGGTGGCCAGCGCGACTCTCGTGGCCGGCGCAGCGGTTCCGCCGGCACCTTGGCACGGCAGCTCTCA